CCAGTGTAGTTGCCGGAATGTCTTCAGACCAGCGCGCGCGGCGTTGAAGCGAGAGAACACACCTTCGGCAAGGTAGGGAATTTGGCCCACCTTCTGCCGCGGAACAGGCTGGAACTTCGGCTTTCAAAACAGGGAATCTCGAGCGGGAGGCTCATCTCGAAAAGGTACCGCCCTCCACCAGTGTTCAGAAGGAGAAAAAACACAGACACAATTAATCGTCGATCCCCCGGAAAGTCTGCGAAAATATGGGAAGTGGGGGGGGGAAGACAGACACCCAGGAAATATCGGAAAATGTGGGGAATCCTTCAAGTTCAACTGCCAGAGTGTCTTCAGACCCGCGTGCGCGGCGCAAAAAAGCGAGAGAGCACACACCTTCGACAGGGCATGCTGCTGCTGGACCTGGCGGTCAGACGAGCGTGCGCGGCGCCGAGGCGAGGGCCCCCTCTGGAGACTGCACCGGCCTCCATCCGCGCAGCTTCAAGTCGGGCGCGCCCCTCTACAGGAGGAATGTTCAAGAATGGTCCAGAGATGGTCTGGGGACGATGTTTCGACAATTGCTTGACCATGCTTGAGTATATTATCGGAGGCGTTTTTTATTTTACGGCGCCAACATCCGCCTGTACGGGGCCACGCCCGACCTAAGCGTAGCTGTTGGGTGTATGTTTGTGTGTGTGACGAGCATGCGCGGCGCCAAGGCGAGAGCCGCATTTTGAATATGGCCTCTATATCCCTGCAGCTGTTAGGTCTGCCCACTCGAGACGAGTGCGCGCGGCTCCGAGGCGAGAAGCCCATTCTGAAGACGTGATTGCCGCCCTCCCTCCGTGCAGGTGGTGGGAACGTTGCGACGAGCGTGCGCGGCGCCAAGGCGAGAGTCCCATTCGGAATTTGCGCCGCGAGCACAGGCGTCGAATCTGTTCCTAGCAAAACGCCATGCTCGCCCTCACGAGGCGTCTGGTGGCGTGGTGGGGGGGAAGATGGAGAAGGGGGAGGGGGCAGGAGAAGAGGGAACATGGGGAAGGAGAGGAGGAGGGAGGGTCTCGGTAGCCAGGTCAAACGAGTCATCGGGCCCCGCCCATTCCCGCCCTCCTTCCCATAACATAAGAATCACATGTGGCACACATTGATATTGTCGGCGGCGCGCCCTGGGGGGAAGGGAGAAGGGGCGGGCCTTCTCAGAAGGCTCGGACGTCTCCTGCCTTCTGAGCAGTTTTCTGAGCCTCGCCCGAAGGCGCCGAAAGCTGGTCAGGGAGGCGCGAGGGCTCCTGAGAGGTCCTGCCGCGCCGCCTTCTGAGAAGGCCGTCTCCTTCTCACTTCCCCCCCTCGCTCGCCGCCGATGTTGGTACGGTGGGGGCTTCAGACCCTGGAGGGTTTCTTATCTGATGAGGGCGGCGGTGATATCCATGGTCAAGCCCCAATGGGTGTTCCACCAGCTCCCAGACCCTGGACTCCTTATCTAGGGGTTCCTTATCCAATGCCCTCGCCGTACTCGAACCCGTCACCACCCCGCGGGCGGAGAACGCTCACGCGCGGTCTCGCACCCGACGGCCCGGCGAGGAGCAAGAATGGCGGGCCGCGCACCGAGGGCGGGAGCGGAGCCGCTGGGCGACTCCCTGCGCGGCGCGGCGGCGAGAGCACCACGGCTGGGCCTGCTGGTCGGGCGGCCTGCCCTCCGACGGACGCCGCGAGCACGAAGCTCGGCGGCGAGCAAGGGGGGGAAGCGAGAGTGAGCATGCCTTCTCGGGAGGGCTGCGGGGCTTCTCAGAAGCCTTCCTGCCTTCTGTCGAAAAGTGCACGCTGCGCTCGAGTGAGAGCTCGATCCTCCCGAAAAAAATGACCGCGGCGCCGAAGCGAGAGCGACTTTTCTGCCTTTCGCGCACAATGTGCTTCTCGCCCCACTCTTGCCACGCATGTGCAACGTCGACGCCATAGCGTCCATGATGCGAAACAACATATGTAGAAGCTGCATTGCCTCTGATTGGTAGGATAGAACGCTTCTGACGGAGGGAGGTTATCTAACGGCTGGGCGGCCCAATAGGAGCACACGCTAAGCATGAACAAGGATGAGGGGAAGGGGACAAGTGGGGAGTGGAAGATGGGGGAGAAGGAGGAGGAGGAGGGAGAGGAGGAGGAGGAGGAGGAGGAGGAGTTCACAGCCATTTCGGCTTAAGATCTCAGCGGCCCCGAGGAGGCGTCCGCTACCAAGCAGCCGAGCCGGCCGAGGACCTCGGGGAGCCATGGTCGGGCAGAGCAGGCAGGATGCTTTCGGTGCCTCGGCAGCGATAGCTCGCGGGGCGGATGCCAATTTTCAGCCGCGCTTCGGGCTGCCAGGTTACCTGTTGATACACTTGGCTGGGCTGGCCAGCTGGTCCTTCGTGTCGGTATCCGGGCGCGCTGCCGCGTGCAGTTGTCCGTCAGTAGTCGCTTGAAGACATTTGGCTACAGTGGCAGCCGACTTTACCGAAGCGGACGATGAACGGTCTACAGTAATGTTTGTCTGCTCTCGCGGGACGCCTGCCTCATGACAGCTGGAACATTCATACCCCGTTGTGCCGCCGTAGGGGTATACATTTTCCAGCCCCCCTGGGGCAGACGTTCCTGACGCCGGAAAGGTTTGCTGTATACCATGATTCGTCGGTTCATTACAATGTTTGCATGGGCCGCTCTCGGAAGCAAGCTTCGAGTGATGATGCGTCGGCATTTGTCGGAGCTTACGGGGGCATTTTCCGCCACCGCGCGCTGGGGGTGATGAGGGATGGGGGTTGGGAGGTCCCCAGCCAGGAGCCTTGCTGCTGGGCTCCTGTTTGAGCGAGGGGTGAACGGAGGCATGGTGGGCTCGACGCGGTGGCGGAGGATCGAGCATTGCTTTGCGAGAGGCGAAGCCACTCGCGCTGTAGCATAGCAATCGACCGGATCATTGGAGACCCCCAGCAAAACAGAGGTGAAACAGTTGCGAAAAGCAACGGGCACGACTCGTGCCATCTGCCGCACATCGCGGGGGCGGATACCTGTGGTCCAGCATGTTTGTCGGGGTCAGCGACGCGAGCCACCCGTTCGCTCTCCTCCGGGACAACTACTGGCTGAGCAGCGTCTTCTTGAGTTCAGGCGCTGCCCTTGGCGTCGCCCTGTACCTGCTGGACTTCTTCATGCCGCCGCACCTTCCCGGGCAATACGGGGCCCTCTGGAACAAGGACCGCTTGGTCGGGCGGTCGTTCCTGCTGCTTGGTGTGCTTCTCATTCTGGTCGGCTGCCTCTTCATGGCGGCATACCGCCCGCAGTTTCCAATGTTGGTCTTTATCGGCTTGGGCATGGGGATCCCTGTCAGCATACGAAGGCTGACGATGTCAGACATGACAGATGTCGCCCCCCTGGGAGCCTGTGAACTTCGGGTTCGGCGCATCGAGTCTTTGTCATCGAAGCCGCCTCCGGCGAGTCATCGCATCCCCAGGCGGCCCGAAACGCCACCGAAGCACACGTCGTTTGCCCCGGTCCCGCGGCGGAGCGGCGGTGCAGGGCAAAGCGTGCGCTTTCGGGCAGGTTCTGGGGAGCCACACCGCGGATGCTCTCGGCAGCCTAACCACGTTCCCAGGCGCTCCCGGGCGCTCCCAAGCGCTCCAAGGCGCTCCCCAAGCGCTCCCAGGCGCTGCCAGGCGCTCCCAGGCGCTCCCAGGCGCTCCCAGGCGCTCTCAAGCGGTCCCAGTTGTAAACGTGGGTGTTCGATGAGTGATGTCCTGTTCCGGGTGTGCCCTTACGTCTCCTTTGGCGGGGATGGTGGATTCATGGCTCGGGGGGCGATCTGTTCGTCAAACTTTGGAGCCGGTAGAGAAGTAGATCACACGACTCGGGTGTGGTGCAATGCTTAGCCCGGGCCCCCGCGTTCACCGACAGTTCTAGCATTATCTCCTGGAGCTCAGCACATCAGGCATCATTACTTGTTGGGATGCGTGCGGCATGCACCTCCATGGTAGGGAAATTACAGAACGAGCCCATCGGGCAGCCGCGACAGTCACGTAAACGAAATAACATGAAAGCATGTCGCAAGACGTATTATCTTGGCGCACTCATGAAACCTCCTGCAACTTACGTGCCATATCATTTCATGCATCACATGTCCATGGTGACCAGATTGGAAGCCTATCCAGATGCAATTTGCTTCATCCGGAAACTTGCATTTACAGCCTGGTGGGCCCACAAAGGGGACCAGAAGGAAATCTGCAGAAGACTCTCGCTCAGAAGTCAGAGGACGCACTCAATTTCTACAAGGCCTTGGCATTGGCATGCTTGTTGAGTGCGGTCGCGGTCACGGCTGCTTGGATAATTCAGGCGCTCAGGGGTAAGATTTGTTTTTCGGATTGCGACAACCAGTTCATGGTCGTCGGTGATGGTTGCGCCGAGGATTCTGGAAGCCTCGACTCGGGCCTGGTTGAGTTCCTGGCCATGAGCCCCCTTTTTGTCACGCTCGCGGACCTGCTCTTCGGCCTCTTCGCTCTGATGCGGGTTGTGATGGACAGCACCTACCTGTCGACGTCGAGAGCCCACAATCAGCTTGCGTCTAGACTCGGTGGCGGAGCGCCGCGTGCAGGCGCAGGCTGCGAGAGTACCCACGAGATCAGCGACGAGTTCCAGCGCCTGGAGCTCCAGGGCTGCCAGCAGCTCACGAGGCTCGTGAAGGCCGTGGGGCTTGCCTTCGTTGTGCTGATCGGCCTTGGGTACGCGGGTGCCCTGCTCATCTGGGTGGACAATGCGATAGCAGACATGTTTGTTGGCCTCCTGGTTGTCTTCTTTCTCTCGGCGGCGAGCGAGGGGGGAAATGAGAAGGAGAAGGCCTTCCCAGAAGTCGGCGGGACGTCTCAGAAGCCCTCGCGTCTTCTGAGAAGTTTTTTGTCTGCCTCCAGGGAAGGCTTCGAAAACTTCTCAGAAGGCCGGAGGACTTCCGAACCTTCTGAGCAGGTCTTCTTTTTCTCACTTCCCCCTCTCGCTCGCCGCCGATTATCGGTTTTGTCATGATGACTGCCGCCTCATTCTCCAGAATCGCGCAAGCGCTAGGCAACTGGTTGATCGATCTTCCCCTGTGGGGCAAGGCCGCTTCTGTGATGAAGACTGACTGGGCACAAGCGTTCCTCCTCTGCCTGACGCTTCCACTGATATTGCTACTTGCTGTTCTCTGCGTCGCAAACCAGCAGGTGCGGCGCGCGAGGGGCATTTCTCTACCCCTCGGCCAGCATGCAGTCGCGAGCAGAGTGTCGAGCACCACCGATTCTGCCAACCTGGCCCCTCCTCGAGATGTCAGTGCCGGCAGGGCTTCCTTGCACGTCTTGTCCCAGCTGCTGCGCCCAGCCAGCAGCCCGTCGGAGGGCTCCCTCCGCATCTGGCTGACCGCCAGACTCAACGGCGTCTGGCAGGAGGTCAGGGGCCTGCGGTGGTTGTCCATATCCGCCGCCTGCGGCACAGTTCCGAGGAGGTTGTCGTTTCTCGTTCACTGTTTTGCCGACCAGCGCGGGCCCTCGCGCCCCCCCTCCCCACCCCTCAAATGGAGTAGATCTTGGCTATTTTGGGACGCACTGTTACCAACAGCCGCGCTAAGCAGAGGTCCGGAGCCAGACTCCCCCCCCCCCCTCCCCCCCCCTCCCGCCCAATGCCGAAACGCCGAATAGAAAAACGCCCACAAGCTGCACCGAAGAGGTGGTCCAGAACCAAAAGGCCATACTTGCATACGCTCGGGCCGAGGTACAAGATCGAGGTCGGTTCGGGGAGGGTACCCTCGTGTGCTTCGTGTTTGTTGGATGTTCCTGTGCATCCTGGGGGAGGGCACCCTCGAATGTTCTTCAGCTTTGGCCGGCAGAGGGTTTCATGTTCTTGCAGGATGCTCTTCTGTCATAGGTTCAGCCGTAGTGTTGCCATGGTTCTGGCATCTTCTTGGAATGGCTCCGTCGGGTCCTCTGGCTGGCTCCAGGAGTCTTTGGGAGAGTCCGCACGGTGTCGCGGTCCGTTTTGGCCTCTTCGGGTGTTCTTAACGGTTGTTCGGGCCTTTGGGGGTTGTCTTCGGACGCTTGGGTGCGTGGGGGGAGGGATCTTGGGGCCCTCGTGGGTCGTCTTGGCAGCGCCTTAGTGGTCTAGTAGCCCTAAGAAGAGGGCAGAGGGCGAGTTTCTGCGAAGTGCTGCGAGTCGGTGGGATCGCCCTGGGGACAAACATACAAGGTAGCTTAGGCGCATTCGAACACGCCCCAACGTGCCAGGGGGGGCACCAGGGCGGATACACGAAGGTGTACGTCTGGTGTTTGTTGCCTTTTGCTTACTATGTTGGTTCTCTGCTCTTCAACGCAGGTTTCGCGTTCTTGAGGCATGTCTTGACACCGATTCCTTTCAGATTTGTCGTCGTTCTGGTATTCGGCGTGGGTGTGTGCGCCTTCCTCTGGCCTACGGTCCCAGGCATGGTAGTATATATGTTCGGTGGTCTCCTGATCCCAGACACGTGCACTCTACCTGCCGGTGGCAGCGACGAGACTCGATTTTGGGTTGGGGTCTGCATCAATATAGTTTTGGGTTTCTTCCTGAAGCTCACCGCGTGCGCGATTCAGCAGAAGTTAATCGGGTCACGCCTGGGTAAGCACATCAGGATCAGGCAGATCTGCGGTGTTCACACATCACAGATGCGAACAGTTGAGTCTGTGCTGAGAAAGCCAGGCCTTTCTGTGGGGAAGGTTGCGATCTTGTGTGGAGGGCCTGATTGGCCAGTGTCGGTGCTTTGCGGTATCTTGGACTTGCCTCTTTTGCAATGCGAGCTTGGGACCACGCCGATCATCTTTTACATCATACCATGTGGTCTATGTGGATCGATGTATCTTCGGGCCGGCGACGGCGCCGAGTGGGAGGCAGCGGCCAGCGCGATGGTCTTCACGACGACCCTCATGACAGGGCTGCTGTGGGTGGTCATGGCCTGGGCGGTGCAGCGAGAATGGGAGCAGAAGGGCGAGGAGCTCGGGAAGCCGTTGCGCCAGCATGCAGACCTCTGGTTCTTGGACCACAGGGCAGAGATGCTCAGGCGGAAGTGCGCGGTGGCCTGGGGCGAGCTTCCCCGCATCCTGCGCAACTGCTTCGCTTTCGGGGCCTTCGTCCAGATCGTGGTGAACCACTGCTTCTTCTGGGCCTACAGCTACCTGTTCGGTGACTTTACGGTGAGTGAGGATTGGGGAAACATCCACTGGGTTGCCAACGCGATCGACGGATGTGGCTGCTACACGCCGGGCGGTACAGCGGAGCGCGGCCACTGCGTCTTCGCGCTGGCCGGCATATCGCTGACGCTCGCCTACTGTGCCGCCTGGCTGCCGTACGAGGCCCTGCGCTGGCACTGGAAGGGGCGGAACGCCAAGGCCCAGGATCAGAGGAGGAACAGGTACCTATACCTCTACCCTTCCCTCGTTTTCCTTCTCCTTCTCCTTCTCCTCCTCCTCTCTCCTCTCTCCTCCTCCTCCTCCTCCTCCTCCTCCTCCTCCTCCTCCTTCTCTCCTCCTCCCTCCTCCTCCTCCTCCTCCTCCTCCTCCCTCCTCCCTCCTCCTCCTCCTCCTCCTCCCTCCTCCTCCTCCTCCTCCTCCTCCTCCTCCTCCTCCTCCTCCTCCTCCTCCTCCTCCTCCTCCTCCTCTCGAGAGGATGGAACAGAACCCGTACCGCTACCCTTCCCTCGTTTTCCCTTTTTTGAGGAGCCTCCCAGGAGGCCCTCGTCGCCACCGCTGGCTTCGCCTCGAAATCCTTGCCAGAACGCACCCCAGGGAGAGGTCCGGGGAGCAGTGGTACCGGTACTTTTTGTCGGCGGCGAGCGAGGGGGGGGAAGTGAGAAATGTAAGGCTTTCTCAGAGCTAGGCGTGACCTCTCAGAAGCCCTCGCGCCTTCTGAGAGGTTGTCTGTGCCTCGGGGGAAGGCCCAGAAAAAGCTCTGGGGGACATTCCGAGCCCTCGGAGAAGGCCCGCTCCTTCTCGATCACTGCCCCCCCTCGCGCGCCGCCGACCCTGGCTTCCCCACAGGAGGCGATCGACCAGGAGTTCGACGAGGCGTACCAGAGGCTGTGGTCCGAGGCTTATGATGTTCCAGCGAATTCTAGCCTTGACCACCAGAAAGAATTTCGAGCACTCGCCCGACACTGTTTCGAACTCTTTCGACACTTTTCCGGGTGCTCGAAATTATCTCTGGGATGTGGTCCTTAAGCACGATGGGGGCCACATAGTCCGAGGCCTTCTTCCGCGCGGGGGCCGCCGCGGGCGCGGAGGCCGGCGCAGCTGCCGCGGGCCTTGCCAGGGCAGCGGGCCTCCGGGCGCGGGCCGCGCGGCAGCTGCGCGGCGCCGCGCGGGCGGGCGCGCTGCGCCCCGCGGTGCGGGCGGCGCTCGAGGCCGGCGTCTCGCCCAACCTGCCTCGGCCTCCTCCTCCTCCTGCTGCTCCTCCTCCTCCCTCCTCCCTCTCCTCCCTCTTCCCTCCTCCTCTCTCCTTCCTCCTCCCCTCCTCCTCCTCCCTCCTTCTCCTCCTCCTCCCCTCCTCCTCCTCTCCTCCTCCTCCTCCTCCTCCTCGCTCTTCCTCCTCTCTTTTCTCTGTCTCTCTTCCGTCTTTCCCGCCTCCCTCACTACGTCCTCCACCTCTTCCTCTTCCTCCTCCTCCTCCTCCTCCTCCTCCTCCTCCTCCTCCTCCTCCCGCCTCCCTCACTACGTCCTCCACCTCTTCCTCTTCCTCCTCCTCCTCCTCCTCCTCCTCCTCCGTCCTCCATCCTCCTCTATTTCTTCCTCCTCCTCCTCCTCCTCTTTCTCCTCTTTCTCCTCCTCCTCTTCCTCCTCTTTCTCCGCCTCCTCCTCCTCCTCCTTTTTCCTCTTCCCTCCTCCTTCCACGTCGTCGTTGGCATCGCTCGGACGTGAGCATTTTTCTAGGCGTGGACCATCGAGTTCGGTGGCAAATCACGGGAATCTGGTATACCTATACAACCACCCTGCGGGTGATAAGGAGGTTGTGGGGGGGTGGGGGCAGGGGAGTGGCTCATGACGACAACTGTGATGAACGTGGTGCTGATGGGCGATGATGGTGTGGATGACGTGGCGAATTTTTTGTTGTTCCTTCGCTTGGGTGACTTGTGTCGTTCGGTTTGCCGCTGCGCGACGCGGCACTCAGCCCATGACGTCCCAGTCGACGATGGGTGCACTGGCAGTGCCTGGTGCGCGCGTCCGGACCTCTCCTATCCTGGCTTGGGAGTCACGCTGGCAGTGCCTGGCGTCGACGAGCACCCTCCGCCCAGCGTCGGTGGAGACGACTGGCTGTTTGTGGCGGGCGGTGCCGCTTGCTCAGCAGGGACACTGCTGCCAGATGCACTGGCAGCGCCTGGTGCCGTGTTGGCCTGCACTGGCAGCGCCCACGTGAGGACCATGCCTTTGTCAGGCTGGCGCGGGTCCCTGGGGTGCCATGCGAATTCCGGGTGGCTCTGAACGAACGCCTTCATGCCACCGGGTGGCAGGAGCTTGTTGAACTCGGCGTATGCACGCTCGTCGTGCGGTTGTCGGCCCGTCCACTTATGCGAAATCCAAGACGGGTCGAACTCACCGTAGTGCGTCCAGAGACACTGGCTGACGAGCTCAACCAGGCGTGCGTCCGCCTCTGGTGTACCAGTTTCCGCACCGGCACCCCGCAGCACGATGATGATGGTGATGATGATGGTGGTGATGGTGGTGATGACGATCAGGAGATGCTGATGAAGCAAATTCACACAAGCAGGGGAACTGGAAGGACGGCGTGGCCAATAAATGACGGCATTTATTTGTCCTCTGACGACTACGTGGTCCAAGAACGGCCCCCCCTGGCCTATGATACCAAATGAAAGTGGCCGCCATCGTCTGAGGGGGGAGGAGAGGAGGAGGGAGGCGATGAATGGCAATCGAGCCTTCGTCCTAGCAAAAAGGCGACGAGCTGACCGACTTGCGTCGCATGGCCTGAGCCCTTGAGCCGAACTAAAGATCTAAGTGATTAGGTTAGAATAAAGAACAAAAAAAGAAGGACACGAGGAGGAGAAGCAAGAGAAGGTGCCCCCTGATGAGCAACCATGATGGTGTCCCATGATGAGCAACCATGGTGAGCAACCATGATGAGCAACCGGCGGGACAATGATGAGCAACCATATGGGCAACCACGATGGGCAACCGGCGGGACAATGATGAGCAACCGGCGGGACAATGATGAGCAACCATGATGAGCAGCCATGATGAGCAACCATAATGAGCAACCGGCGGGACAATGATGAGCAACCGTGATGAGCAACCGGCGGGACAATGATGAGCAACCATGATGAGCAACATGGTGAGCAACCATGATGAGCAACCGGCGGGGCAATGATGAGCAACCATGATGAGCAACCGGAGGGACAATGATGAGCAACCATGATGAGAAACCATGGTGAGCAAACATGATGAGCAACCGGCGGGCAACCGACGGGACAACGTGGGCTACCGCTTGACAAGGCGGGGGGGGGAAACATTTGTGTTGGCGGACCCCTAGCGACAGCAGAGGGAATTCCTCTCGCTGGCCCACGCAGCTTCGCCCCGCCCGCACGCACGGCACGAGCACGAACTCGAAACTTGATTTCCCGGTGGGGGGACTCCGTTACACTGCGATCTCACCCCCCAACCTCCGACCTTCTGAATTTTGTGTTTATCGCCGATTGGCGTCGATGAGCGTTTGCGAGTCGATGAGGTAGCGCCGATTTAGCGTCGGCTAGCGCCGATTAGCGTCGACTTAACGTCGGTTAGCGTCGATTCAGCGTCGATCAGCGTCGATCCGCAAGAGCCAACAAGATGGTACGGGAAGTTCCCATGAGTTGCCACCGAATTTCTTGGCGTGGACCATCGAGGAGGATCCTGGGTCATCTTGCGAAGAGTACGCACGCGGTGCCGAACATAATGCATGGGCAATGGACGTCCGAGCGATGGCGACCTATACGGTGGGGGTGTTGGTTAAGGAATGTGCCCAGGAGGCTTTAGACCCTGGGGGATTTCTTATCCCATGAGGGCGGTGGTGATATCCATGGACAGTCCACGATTGGAGCCCCAGTGGCTTCCAGACCTTGGATTCCTTACTCAATGGTTCCCCTTCCGATGCCCTCAATCTGAACGCATCCCCGCCCCCCTCTGGGGCCATGGTGTCTCCGCCCATCCCTGCCCGCCCCCCTCGGGTGGGGATGGGCCCCGCGAGACTCCACGGAACAGGCCCAGATGCCCGCCCCGGTGGGTGCGGTCGGGAGCCTTGGCCGAGCGTGCCGCTCGTCGGGTCGGAGGACCGCGCCGCCTCTCCGGTGCATCGGCGACGCGGCTCGATGCGGAGCCCCGTTCTCTCCATCGCCGACGTCGCCGATGCATCGGCGATGCATTGGCGATGCGGCGCGATCCTTCGACCCCATCTACTCGGACCCCATCTGGGAAGCCTCTAGCCGCTCCGCCGGTTCTGGCCCACCACGCTTCGGCGCCACACGCTATCCACGTCCCCCCTTGCCAGGCGCCAGCGTCCCGAGCCTTTTTTCCATGTCAGCCCGCGCCGCGGAACTGAGCGACACGCTGTCTGCTCCCAAGACATACCGTGTGTCGCCTGGGCCGCCGCCGCGACGCTCTTAAGCAAAAGTTCCTGACCGTCCGTCGGCCAATGGGGCCGACGCCGCGCCAGCGGGGAAGGGTTTGGTTAAATCGGCACGCCCAAGCAGACCAATATATGTGATCGTTTTCTTAGTCGTTGTCTTGCGGATCGGCGCGGGCCCTCGCACCCCCCCCCTCCCCGCCCCCTATGGAGCAGATCTTGGCTGTTCTTGGCGCGTGGTTCGAGCAGATGGAATACCCCCCACAGGACGCACTGTTGCAAACAGTCGCGCTAAGCAGAGGTCCGGAGCTAGACCCCCCCTCCGCCCAATGTCGAAGCGCCGAAGTACAACAAACATCATTATATCTACACATATATGTTTATACCTACACCTATATATAAGCAAACATACATACATACATACATACATACATACATACATACATACATACATACATACGTACGTACATACATACATACATACATACATACATACACACATACACACATACACTCATACACACATACACACATACACACATACACACATGCACACATACACACATACACACATACACACATACATACATACATACATACATACATACATACATACATACGTACGTACATACATACATACATGCATACATACATACACACATACACACATACATACATACATACATACATACATACATACATACATACATACATACATACATACACACACATATACATACATACATACATACATACATACATACATACATACATACATACATACATACATACATACATACATACATACATACATACATAAATACATACATGCATGCATACATACATACACACATACATACAGACACACATACATACGTACGTACGTACGTACGTACGTACATACATACATACATACATACATACATACATACATACCTATATGCATTTATATGTATGTATAGATATGTGCGTCGGCCACGCATGGTGCGCCGCGCACGCCCGCAAGCCTTTCGCACGAGTTCCGTGGCGGGCGCTCCCTGGCCTTGCAGCTCCGGGAAGGAGTTACACCACAGGTTTTTGTGCTGCATGTGCTCGGGTCGGGCTGATCGTCACGCGCCCCCCTTTTACCCGGGATATACCATCCCTGCATTGGGCCCCGCCGCCGCTGGCCCGCCGACGCAGCAGCCGCCGCAGACTCGCCGGCGGGGCCTGCCGCGCCGCTCGCTCGGGGAGCGACCCGTCACCCCCTGAGCCGCTCGCTCCGTCCGCCCATTTTTCGGCCGCGCCTCCCCCTTCTCCTCCTCTCGCAATGTGGCGCAATTCGCTTCAACGGCACCCCCGCTCAGGCATCCCATCGCCAGCGCCGACGTCCCCTGCCCAGCCGCCGGCGCAAAAGTGTTCCGGTTCGGGCGTGCGTCCCCAGCCGAGGCACACAGCGCTAGGGCCTGGCATCGCTCGGACTTGTGCGCTCCCCCCGGCGAGGACCATCGAGGGGCATCCTGGACCATCCTGCGAACAAAGAAGCGTGCGAGATGCGAAGAAGAAAACACGCCATACACAAACTTCTGGCGCTCCGCGCGCGGATTTCTTGGATCTGCGCTGGGGCAAGCCCGGCGGCGCCTCCAGCGCCGCCCCTGGCGCGGTCCGCGCACCAGCGAGGGGGTTCTAGCCTAGATCCAAGAAGCCCGCGCGGAGCACCAACACTTTTTCTGTGGCGTCATTTCTTTTTCTAATTTTGGACCATCCTGCGGACAAAGACGCGCAGGACATCGACAAATGCACGGGGAATGGGCGTCCGAGCGACAGGTGTCGGAAACAAGTAAGCAGCACCCGCGCGTAACATATGGTGTGGATTCCTCCCCCCTCCCCCCCGAATGCATTGTTGGGCTCGGATTTCTCGAGCTCGAGTGTCGGACCAGTGATGCGTACACGTGCCAACTTTGAATTGCGGGGGGAGGGGGGGGGGGGTTGCTTATTTGTTCCTCCAACCGGATGGAAAGAGGATGTCCGCACGCCAGGGCTGGACTTAAACGTTGTTTTGCTGGACTTCGGCTGTGCTTGTTTTTTCGTTTTGGCAGGGCGGTGCCTGAGAACAGGCAAAGCACAACGAAATACACAACGAAAACAGCACGAAAAACAACGTATAGGTCCTGCCTTGCCGCACGCGTCCCATGAAGCGGGTGCCCGCGAGGCGCGAGCCGAGGCCGCGGACGGCGCACCGCGCCTGAGCCTCGAGAGCTTCTCCACGCCCTCCGCCGCGGGCGCCTGCACGCCGCGGCGGCGTGGCGGCCCCGAGGCCGACGGGGGGGAGGAGGAGGGGCAGCAGCAGGAGGAGGAGAAGGAGGAGGAGGAGGGAGATGATGATGATGATGATGATGATGATGATGATGATGATGATGATGATGATGATGATGATGATGATGATGATGATGATGATGATGATGATGATGAGGAGGAGGAGGAGGAGGAGGGGAGGAGGAGGAGGAGGAGGAGGAGGTGGTAGAGGAGGAGGAAGGAGGAGACGAGGACGGAGGACGAGGACGAGGGACGAGGACGAGGACGAGGAGGAGGAGGAGGGGGGGGGAAGAGAGGAGGAGGAGGATGAGGAGGAGGAAGGAGGAGGACAAAACCCAAGAGTCATTAACGAAAATGCTCCCTCTTCATAGGCCCCTGCAACGATTCATTTTCCCCATTGAGGGAGCCGCCTCGTCGGGAGGAGGAGGAGAGGAGGAGGAGGAGGAAGGAGGAGGAGGAGGAGACGGGGAGGGGAGGAGGGGGAGGAGGAGGCGGAGGAGGAGGAGGAA